GACACGTTCTCTCTGTGTTCCGTGGTTTCACTCTGAATTGGCCTCCACCCGCTTGGAACAGCAGAATGTATCTCTCGAACGGGGTGAGGTGTCCCTTAGGAACACGGAACACATAGTTAAGCTCTTCACAATAGCAGCATTCAAAGATGGTTAGGAATAATCCTTTTCAGTGACGGCTCCTATCTGGTGGAATGAGCTCCCAGAGGAGATCAGGGCCCTGTGGGACCTTTTGCAGTTCCGCAGGGCCTGTGAGCTCTTCCGCCAGGATTTCGAATAGGAGCCACCACTGCCACTACCACCACCGCTCCACTATAAAGCGATACCGCCGGAGGGCTGAGTGACATCTATCTACGGCCCTGGCACTCCCCTTCTTGTATGCAAGACGTTGGGATCTTTCTATTCTTGCATCCTGACTGAACTGAATTTTAACTGTTTTACCTATTTTATATTGTATGCACTTTGTGCCTTCTTGTAAGCCGCCTTGAGCCCGCTCGCGGGGAGGGAGGGGTATAAATATAATTAAATTAAATAAATATTTCCATCTTCACCAAGGTTCTTGTCAAAGGTGCCCTTGTGAGTGTGGACTACAAAAACCAGACTATGAGTAGACACCTAACTTGCAGAAAAACAGTGCCGTGGTGCTGTGGGCGGAGGCTGGTCTAATGGCTCTGTCTAATTCATCTTCCACGACTGCTGAACTGGAGATCAGCTAATCAAATGCTGGCCTCACTCAGCATCCTTCGTAAATCGGAACATGTCAGCAAGGGTCCCGATCAGCTGGCAAGAAAGAAGTTCTCTCTTTCACGGCAGCCCCTTCCGGGGGAATTCTAATTTTACTTCATTCTTAGGGGTGAATGAGGACTACTAGTCTGCGCACACACAAAAAGGCAACTAGCCTGGAAATTCTGTTAGGGGTTATTGTAAGATATAACCCAAAGGCAAAAAAAGTGTGGGTTGGTGGTGGTGTTGTTGTTTTTGCTCTGACCTTTCTATTGCATGTAATTCAAATTCAACGAGGTCTGCCTTCAATCATCCCACATAACTATATTTGACTCTGATCCTGGCCCGTAGCTAACATGGGGCCCACGGGTCCTGGCCCCCTAGTGTTTCTTCTGGGCCCCCTTGCTCCTGGGCCGCCCCCAAAGTGCTCCAGCTTACCACCTGCACTGTACTTCCATTTAATTAGCTGGTGGGACCCCTGAGGCCCCCCTCCCAAAAAAATTCCTAGCTACAGGGCTGCTCTGATCACAACCCAAAAGCCAAGAAGAATCATAGTCCAGCCCTCTGCGCAATGCAGGACCAGCCTAGAGCATCCCCGACAAGTGTTCACCCAGCTGCTGCTCGAAGGATGCCCGTATGTTTGCTTGAGTTCATCAGGCCTAACTCTGTACTGGGTAATGGCCTCCAAAGAGTAGAGCAGGGCCCCCGAACGTTTTGTAGCCTGTGCGCACTTTTGGAAATCTGACACGGGGGTGGGGGTGGTCAGTGCAGTTACAAAATGGCTGCTGCAGGTGGTGGAGCCGAGCACAAAATGTCAGGGAGCGAGGAACAGACTTCCTCAAGTCTTACATATAGGTAGGGGGGGTAGTTAACAGTTTAGTTGCCAGGAGGGGGGGTAGTTAACAGTCAAGATGCATAAGTGACTGAGTGATAAGTATAGCTAAGACGGCATCTGAAGAAGCGTGCACGCACATGGGAGTTTACACCCAGAATTAAACTTGATTGGTCTTAAATGTGCTGCTGGACTAAAACTTTGTTCTATTAGCTTTATGAAGAAGAAGAAGAGACTGGATTTATACCCTGCCCTTCACTACCCAGAGGTGTCTCAGAGCGGCTTACAAACTCCTTTCCCTTCCCCTCCCCACAACAGACACCCAGTAGGAGGGGCTGAGAGAGCCGCTCTTGAGAGAATAGCTCTGAGAGAACTTGTGACTGACCCAGGGTCACGCCGGCAGCTGCATGTGGAGGAGTGGGGAATCAAACCCGGTTCTCCCAGGTTAGAGTCCGCGCACTTAACCACTGCACCACCACACTGGCTTTAGGAGCATGACCTGCTGTAGGATTCTGTGCTTCACATTCTGGAGAAAGATAGAAGTCTGGGAGCCCCTCCGGCTTCATGAGGCAGGCCGTTCCACCCCTGCCCCCACCCCCCTGGGGTCAACAACAGGGAATGTGCTGGCGTGGTCAGTTCTGGCCCACCCACCTACAGCATGGCGCCTCCAGAAAGTGTTGCTCCGAGGGGTGACGCAGTCTCAGCAGGGCCCATTGGGAGAGGTCGTCCTGCAGAGAGGGGGGTCTGAGGCCCTGAAGGGCTGTGTAGGTGATAACCAATACCTTGGATCAACCCCAGAAGCTAATTTGTGACCGGAGGTGGAGGAGGAGATTGGATTTCTACCCTGCCCTTCACTCAGAGTCTCAGAGTGGCTCACAGACTCCTTTTCCCTCCCCCTCCCCACAACAGACACCCTGCGAGGGAGGTGGGGCTGAGAGAGCTCTGAGAGAACTGTCCTTGAGAGAACAGCTCTGAGAGAACTCTGGCTTGCCCAAGGTCATCCAGCAGGTGCAAGTGGAGGACTGGGGAATCAAACCCGGTTCTCCCAGATTAGAGTCCGTGCGCCTAACCACTACACCACACTGGGTGGGAATGGGAGTGGCGGCAAAATCAAGACACACACCCCCTCCCCCTCGGCACTGGCATCCAGCCCAGGGGGCACAGAGGTGAGAAGGGCTGCCACATCTCATGCGCTACCCCTGCAAGGAGGCCCCGGCACAGCCTGAGGCGGCCTGGGGGTGAGGAGGGCCCTGCCTCAAGTGGAGGCTGACCCTTGGTCCGTCTCCCCCTCCCCCCGGGTCTCAGCTGTTCAGACTGGCAGCAAGCAGCTCTCCAGCAGTCGTTCCCAGCACTAATTTGGTGTAGTGGTTTAGTGCGCAGACTCTAATCTGGGAGAACTGGGTTTGATTCCCCATTCCTCCTCCACGTGCAGCTGCTGGATGACCTTGGGCAAGCCGTAGTTTTGACAAGAGCTGTTCTCTTAAGGACAGTTCTGTCAAGAGCTCTCTCGGCCCCGCCTACCTCACAGGGTGTCTGTCTGTTGCGGGGAGGGGAAGGGAAAGGAGTCTGTAAGCTGCTCTGAGACTCCCTTGGGTAGCGAAGGGCGGGGTATAAATCCAATCTCCTCCTCCTCCTCCCCTTGGTGCCCAAAGCACACTTGCTTATTTTGCTTACTGGTTAATCCAGGGCTGGGTGAGGGAGGGGGTGTCTCTCCCCGAATCCTAGGGGGAAAGTCGGTCCTTCTTCACAGGACGGTGAGTGATGTCTGGAATTTGGATGGCTGTAAAGGAGGGTGAAGTGCGTTTACAGGCGGGCAGCCTGATCGGTACCCAGAGGAGCCACCAGGTTTAGAAGCTTTGGCACCTCTGGGCAGTTGCCGAAGGGGAGGCAAAGAGCAGAGGGTGGGATCCTGGGCTGGGTCAAAGCGCTTGCGGGTCTGTGTCGGCAGGCAGGCAGGAGGTCCCAGGTCCAGTCCCCGGCAGCATCTCCAGTTAGAAAAGGACCAGGCAGGAAGGGACGTGACGCCTGAGACCACTTGGGGAGCAGCTGCCAGTCCGAGCACAGGCAATGAGGACCTGGGGGGACTGACACTCTGGTCCAGGAGAAGGCCGCGTCACACAGCCGTTGGTCACTCCAGGCAAAGAGCACCTGTCCCCCCTGGAGTCTGCCTTGCCCCAAGCTGGGCCCTCCAGTGACCCAAAGGGCAGGGGCCCGGGCCCAGGGAGGGCTGGTGCTCACCTCCCACACTGCCGGTGGCTGAAACTGGGCCCGCCTCTGCAGGGCTTCGGCTCCGTCCTCGCTGCGCCGCTCCAAGCCGTTTCTTGGGGGGCTTGGCTGGAGAGCCCTGCTGCCCCTCGCTTTATAGAATGATGGAATGTGAGAGTTGGAAGGGACCTTGCAGGTCATCTAGTCCATCCCCCTGCATGCTGCAGGAGCAGAGCCGAAAGGCCGCGTGCCCTTCACAGAGACCTCCGGCCAGCTGCTGTGGGGAACGGGCTACTGGTGTGGGCGGATCTGCTGGGCTCTGGCCCTGCAGGGCTCCTCTTCTTCAGCGTTAGAATCATAGGGAGCTGGAAGGGACCTCCAGGGTCATCTCGCCCAACCCCCGCACAATACAGGACATTCGCAAGTACCCCCCCCTCCCCACACCCCCAGTGAGCCCTGGTCCATGCCTGGAAGATGACCCCCCCCAAAAAAGCCCTCCAGGATCTCCAGCCAAACTGGCCTGGTGTTAATATCAAAACAAACCCGTGACCTGAAGGCTCCCTAGCAGGTGAGACAACATGAGTGTGTGTGGGGGAGGCTCTCTTCGCTCCTGGGTCGGGAGGGGCTGGAACAAGCGTCTTCTCCACCCGTCCTCCTGCCAGCCTGGTCGAGGGCATCCCATGGGTCTCACCTCTTTTCTTGGCTCTTGGCCAGTTTGGTGCGGTGGTGAAGTGCGTGGACTCTAATCTGGGAGAACCGGGTTTGATTCCCCACTCCTCCCCCACTCGCACCTGGCTGGATGACCTTGGGCAAGCCATGGTTCTGACAAGAGCTGTCCTTGAAAAAGAGCACTTTCTGTCAAGAGCTCTCTCAGCCCCACCTGCCTCCCAGGGTGTCTGTTGTGGGGAGGGGAAGGGAAAGGAGTCTGTTAGCCGCTCTGAGACACCCTTGGGTAGTGAAGGGCAGGGTATAAATCCAAACTCTTCTTCTTTTCTGCATCTGGTCAGGCTCTGCCCGCTCATCCTGCCTGCCAGCCCCTGGGGCTCTTTCCCGGTGGGCTTTGAGTGCTGGCCCAGAGATCCCAAACCTGCCAGTGTCAGAGAGCCCCCCCCCAGCACCCCCTGCCTGGTGATCTGGCCACACCCCTTTGCCAGTGGGGGGTGTGGGCGGGCGTGCCTTCTGCAGCCGGGCAGATGTAGGGAGGAGAGGGACGCCCAGTCCCTTCTGGGCTTCCTGGCTCCATTCTTTGCTGAGCAGGAGCAGCAGCAGCAGCAGCAGGGGCCAGGCCTCACGCCACAAGGTAGGAGAGGACCAGGGGAGGCTGTGGGCAGCGGCAGCAGCAGCCCCGGGTGGGCCCTGCAGGCCAGGGAGCGGGGTGGGGGGGCGGGGAGAAGGAGGGCAGGCACCATTGACCTTGGCTGCCGGTTGCCCCCAGGCCCGGGCCCTGTCCCCCTTTGGCCTTTGGAAAGGCGTCTGGGGCAAACAGCTGGCATGCCCACCTCCCCCTCTCCTGGCCCCCAGGGATCTCTGAGTCGGATTATTTTGGCTCCAGGAGGACACATGCCCCTTAATGCGCACACATGGATACCGAGGACCTGGGGACTGCTTGCTTCTCTGGTAACGGAGCGGGGGGGGGGGGGATATTTTGCAGGCTGGTGCAGAAGCCAGGGCCAGACCAGGGGAGGGCAGCAGCAGAGGGAACAAGCCCCCCAGAAGAGTCTTCCCATCAGTGTTCCCTCTAAGCCGAGTTAGAATAATAGAATCACGGAATGTTAGAGTTGGAAGGGACCTTGCGGGTCATCTCGTCCAACCCCCTGCACTCTGCAGGAGCAGAGCCAAAGAGAGCCCTACAACACACCCGAAAGATGGTCGTCCAGCCTCCGCTTGGAAATGTCCAGCGAAGGAGCATCCCCCACCTACCGAGGCAGACTGTTCCACTGCTCAACCACTCTTAGAATCATAGAATGTTAAGAGTTGGAAGGGACCTTGCAGGTCATCTAGTCCAGCCCCCTGCACTCTGCAGGAGCATAGCTGAAAGATAGCCCTACGACATACCCAAAGGATGGTCATCCAGCCTCCACTTGAAAGCGTCCAGCGAAGGAGCACCCTCCACCTCCCAAGGCAGACTGTTCCACTGCTCAACCAATCTGACAGTTAGGAAGTTTCTCCTGATATTTAGCCCGGTATCCACTCCCTTGTAATTCCCACCCGTTAGATCTAGTCTTGCAATCCGGAGCAAGAGAGAATAGATCTGCTCCATCTTCTACATGACAGCCCTTCAGATACTTGAAGACTACAGTCATGTCCCCTCTAAGCCTTCTCCTTCCCAAGCTAGTGTGAGCTAGCTCCAGCTCACACATTTTTGTCTTTCCAGAGGAAATTAATTTATGCAGTAGCAAAATTGCTTGCACACAGCTCTAATGCCAGTAGCTCACAAAGTAGAATTTTTGCTCACAAGACTCCACAGCTTAGAAGCAGCATTGCTTCCCATGCATATGATTTGGGGCAGGGGAACTCGGGCAGCATCATTGTGCTACAACCCCCCCCCCCCCCAGCTTCCCTATCTCTTTCAACTACAAAATACTGCGGGGCAGAGCTGGGGTGGGGGTGAAGCTGACAGAAGTGCACCTCCCTCCGGCGTTTCATTTCTCGAATGTGCTGGGGACTCAGTTTTGCCTTCTCTGGCACCCCCTCTCCTCAGCCGTCTGGGACTGCCACTTGCCCCTGAGTGGCGAGGATAAGGCACTCTGCCCAGGCTCAGGGGCACTCTTTCTGTTGTTCCCACCAGGGGCTTTTGTGGGTGTTTGCCCAGCAGCAGGACGACTGTGTTTGCTCTGAGACTGCCCCGGGTAGAGGAGCGTGCTGGTGGGCCAGGAAACATAGGATACAATAGCATTGGGAAAAGGGCAGAAAAGGGCAACTCGAATGATAAAAGGGTTGGAACACTTTCCCTCTGAAGAAAGGTTGAAGCGCTTGAGGCTCTTTAGCTTGGAGAAACGACGGCTGAGGGGCAACATGATTGAGGTTTACCAGATGATGCATGGGATAGGCCAGGCAGAGAAAGGTCCTTTTCTCTCTTTCTCACAAGACAAGGACTCCTTGTGGGCACTCCATGAAATTGCTGAGCGGTCGGGTTAGAACGGATAAAAGGAAGTCCTTCTTCACCCAAAGAGTGATTAACACATGGAATTCACTGCTGCAGGAGGGGGGGGTGGCCACAAGCATGGACGGCTTCAAGAGCATATGGAGCAGAGGTCCATCAGTGGCTATTAGCCACAAGGTATAGATAGGGGCTCTGGGGCAAGTGATGCTCTGTCTTCTTGGTGCTTGGGGGGGCCAACAGTGGGAGGGCTTCTAGTGTCCTGGCCCCACTGGTGGACCTCCTGAGGGCACCTGGTATTTCTGGCCACTGTGTGACAGACAGAGTGTTGGACTGGGTGGGCCTTTGGCTTGATCCAACACTGGCTTCTCTCATGAGCTGTTTCGTTTGTCGCCCTGCTGACCCCCCAGTCTCTAGTACTGGATTTATTGGTAAATCCAGTACTAGAGACATGTTTACAGCTTGTGTCAGAAATGGCTGCCTATACAAGGGCCTCTGACCGATCGTAAAATTAAACATCCCCCCGGTAAGCATGAGCCTATGGATACATCTCGCGCGGGCGGGCAAAGCAAGCAAGCAAAGCGAAAAGCTGTTAACTTTCCCAGCCAAGAAAAGCTGCAGCTGTAGCATCTACAAGGTCAAGCATAAGTTGGTGAGCCAGGTAGAGCTGAGACAGAAAACACGGGAGGGCACCCCTCCACATTCCAGACCTATGACAGAGCTACCTGTCACTCTGACTTCTCTCTGATCATCTTCTGTCCTGGAGAAAGGGGGGGGGAGGAAGCCCCACACACACACTCCAGGCCACCTGCAGAAACTCTGGGAGCGGATAATAATGTTTTGAGCAAGTTGTATGTTATATAGTTATATTGTTGAATGTTTAATGTTGGTATTTTTGAAAATTTTAATAAAAAATTATTTACAAAAAAAAAAAAGAAACTCTGGGAGCAATCACAACTTGCCCCCCCCCCGCCCCAGGATCCCGGGGCTGGTGTGACTGAGCATGCCTCCGCAGCCAAAGCACAGATGCTGCAGACGTGCCTCTCCATGCCGGAAGCCACCAGAGATCCGATCCCTGGAACGACACACTGCAGCGAAAGGAGGCTGCACTTCTTACACTGGCTGATCCAGACGTCTCCAGCCCACTTGGCTCCCCAAGGAAGACTCCCCCCCCAAAGCAGCCCCCTTTTTGCGGGACGCAGGTTCAAGTGGCGAGGGACCCCTGCCAAAGCTGACAAAAGGAGACGGCAGCACTGTGGGGGGGGGGGGCATCGACAAGCTGGGGGCAGAACTCGGGCAGAGTTTCCCTTCCCACTTTTCCGCTGGCCCCTCTCCGTTCCCCTCACTGCTTCCCCCAACATCCCCTTACCCCTGAACTCCCTCACATTCGTGGGCTTGCCCCAAGTGGAGGAGGAGTGGGGAATCAAACCCGGTTCTCCCAGATGAGAGTCCGCGCCAAACTGGCTCTTGCTGGCAGGAGATCATAATGAAGACACAGACAGAGAAGCTACTGGGAGAGCCAGTTTGGTGCCATGGTTAAGTGTGCGGACTCTAAACTGGGAGAACCGGGTTTGATTCCCCACTCCTCCACTTGCAGCTGCTGGATGACCTTGGGCAAGCCGTGGTTCTGGCACAGCTGTCCTCTCCTCCACATGCAGCTGCTGGTGTGACCTTGGGTCAGTCACAAGTTCTCTCAGAGCTGTTCTCTCAAGGGCAGTTCTCAGGAGAGTCAGCCCCACCTCCCTCCCAGGGTGTCTGTTGTGTGGAGGGGAAGGGAAAGGAGTTTGTAAGCCGCTTGGAGACACCTTTGGGGAGTGAAGGGCGGGGTAGAAATCCCATCTCCTCCTCCTCCTCCTCTTCTTCTGTAGACACCTCTTTGCAATGTGACACTTTCTCAGCCATGTGGTTCTAGCGTTGCCAATTCTGGGTTTGGAGATTCCTGGAGAATTTGGGGTGGCGCCTGGGGAGGGCTGGAGAAGGGAGGGGCAAGCCAGGGAGTCTGCCCTCTGCAGCCGCCTTTTCCTCCCCGGCAATGGATCCCCCTGAGAGCCAGAGCGGGCGGTGGCGGGGCAGAGCGGCAAAGGAGGGTGCGGGGTGTCCCTTTGGGGGTGTCTCATGCAGGAGCCGGGGGTGTGGGTGGGGAAGGCTCCCTTGGCCAGGCCGGGCCGAGTAACGGATGTCTCTCTTTCAGGGCCGGCTGCAGTGCGGGATCCCGGCGCCATGGGCTTGGCGGTCCACCTCCTGGCCTGCCTCCTGGGCACGGGCTCGTGGGTGGCCATCAACGGCCTGTGGGTGGAGCTGCCCCTGCTGGTGCCCAGCGTGCCCGAGGGCTGGCTCCTGCCCTCCTACCTCACCGTGGTCATCCAGCTGGCCAACGTGGGCCCGCTGCTGGTCACCCTGGCGCACCGCTTCCTGCCCGGGCGGCTGAACGAAGTGGGCCTCATCTACGCCCTCCTCTCCCTGGGCGGCCTGGCCTGCCTGCTGCTGGCCTTCTTCTGGGGGGAGACCCGCGTGGTGGGGGGCGCCCCCCGCAGCGTGGCCCTCCTGGCGCTCCTCTTCTGCCTGGCCCTGGTGGACTGCACCTCCTCCGTCACCTTCCTGCCCTACATGCGCCGCCTGCGCCCCCCCTACCTCACCACCTACTTCGTGGGCGAGGGGCTGAGCGGCCTGCTGCCCGGGCTGGTGGCCCTGGGGCAGGGGGTGGGGGTGGCCCAGTGCCTCAACGGCAGCCAGGCGGAGGGCAACGGCACCCGGCTGCAGGCGGCCTACCAGGCCCCGCGCTTCTCGGCCTGTGCCTTCTTCCTCTTCCTCAGCGGGATGATGGCCGTCAGCCTGGCCGCCTTCGCCCTCCTCAACCACCTCCCGGCTGCCAGGCAGGAGCGGGCCAAGGAGAAGTACCAGGCACGGCTGCAGGTCGAGAGCCCCGGCGGCCCGCGGGTCACGGTGGAGGAGGGGGCTGTGGCCCACCGCCCCTTCCCTTCCAGCGGCCGCTCCTGGGCCCAGACAGCCTACGTCTTCGGGGTGCTGGCCTGGGTCAACGCCCTCACCAACGGCACCATGCCCGCCGTCCAGTCCTACTCTTGCCTCCCTTACGGGGACCTCGCCTTCCACCTCTCGGCCACCTTAGCCGCCCTGGCCAACCCCCTGGCCTGCTTCCTGGGCATGTTCCTGCCAAACAGGTGAGTCGGTGCCGCCTGCCCCCCCCAGTCCAGGGCCCTGCGGGGGGGGTGGAGTGGGAGGGAGGTCTCACTGGGCACAGGCCAGCTCCCAATCCAAGGCACAAGTCCAGGTGGGAGAAGAGGAAGGCGCAGAGAAGGGCTAGGTCTGGGGGTGGAGCCTAGGGAGGGCGGGGGTTTGGGGAGGGGAGGGGCCTTCGCAGCAGGGCGTGATGCAATCGGGCCCACCCTGCAAAGCAGCCCTTTCCTCCAGGGGAAGGGATCTCTCTTTCTGACCATCAGTTGTAACTCCAGATCTCCGGGCCCCGCCTGGAGGTTGAAAGGGAGCAAAACAACCGTGTGATATAGTATGGCAAAAGAATCCTTCACAGACTTGTCAGTTCTTTTCCAAAATCAATTTATAAAGTGGAAAGTGGAACAAATAAATACTTGGAACGATCCAAACGCATCAGCACCACAACGGACCGTGCATCTTGCGTCTCGTTTCTCGCAGAAACTTGATCAGAGCGGGTAGCGTTGAAATTCCTAATGTCTAATCAGGGGTCATTTCATAGAAAAAGAGGCGCAGGAAAAAGCATAACTTATTTGCATATACCACACCCCCTGACATCACCGGAAGTGTGTCAGAAGGCAACACCCACCACTCAGGCTCCACTGGACTGTTTTGGATTGCTAGGGCGGGGGGGGGGGGACGGGACATGTGCAGATCTGTGCTGGCAGAGGAGGAAGAGCTTGTACCTGAATAATACTTGGTCTTAAAGCTGCCACTGGACTGTCTTGGGCCGGGGGGCTGGGGGGGCTCTGCAACTTACCCGTCTGCTTCTTGCTCTGGCTGAGGACTGCTGGGAGCAGGGGGCGGGGCTTGTTGCATGAGCCCACCCCCTGGGCTCTTTGCTGCCGGAGCTCCGCTCCTGTGCGCTCCTGCAGGAAATGACCACTGTGTCTAATTACAAAAATAAAATTACTTTTAACGAGATGCGAGGTGCATGGTCCGCTGTGGTGCTGATGCATTTGGATCATTCCAAGTAAATTGGATTTTGGAAAAGAACTCACAAGTCTATGGGGAAAAAAATTGGCATACTATATCACACGGTTGTTTTGCTCCCTTTCAACGCCCATCCCGTGCTCGCTCTCCTTGGTTTGCAACCACCGGGAGCTTGGCGGCCTGGGAGTAGATGTCATGCAGAGACTGGGATTAAATGCCAGGAGTCAGGAAGCGACCCTGGGAGGGCCCCAGAGCATGCACAGAGTACCCTTCCCTCACCACCAGGCAACCCCAGCCATCTCCCCCAGGCTTTTCCTTTTGGGAAGACGGAACTAGGAGTGGGCCACGGCAGGCTTTGTGACTGCTGTCTGGGGCTTCGCCGGCTGACTCCTGCCCTCCCCTGTCCGTCCTCCCTCCCTCGCAGGTCCCTGGTGCTGATGGGGAGCCTCACCCTGGCCGGAACCCTCCTCGCCTCCTACATCATGTCCATGGCTGTGCTGAGCCCCTGCCCACCCTTCTTGCACCTGCCTGTGGGGGTCATCCTCATTGTAAGTGCCTGAGAGGGGGCAGAACTGGGCCCTGGAACCTCCCCTCCCTCCCTCCCTCCCTCCCTCCCCAGCTTCACCCCCCACCCACCTCCCAACACAGGCAGGCCGGGCGGGGTGAGACGTTTTGGTCCAGCCAGCCCTGGCCGGGGCGTCGTGCCAGGGCCCTGTGTGACTTTGCAGAGGATGCGGGGGGGCACAGATCCCGAGGGGCCCGGCCTCTCTGGTCACCGGGGGGGGGGGTTTGGCTTGCTCCCAGACGCCCCCACCAATGGAATGAAGGTGGGCAGCCCCGTGGCCGGGTGGCTCCCATGTGCTACGGGGCCGTTAATCTGCCCCCAGGCCTTCTGTTTGCACTGGGCCAGCCCCCCCCTCCACTGCACAAAACAGGGCGAAGGGGGTGGTGGCAGATATCCTGCCCGGCGCTGACCCTCTGGCTTTCTCCCCAGGTGCTGTGCTGGGTGCTCTTTGTGGGCATCCTTTCCTACGTCAAGCTGATGATCGGGATGATCCTGCGGGACGAGGGGCACTGTGCCCTCGTCTGGTGTGGGGCCGTGGTGCAGGTGGGCTCGATGGTGGGGGCCCTCACCATCTTCCCGATGGTCAACGTCTACGGCCTCTTCCGCTCGGGGGACCCGTGCCACAGCAGCTGCCCCAGCTGAAGGGGGCCACGCAGGGGCAGAGGCGGTGCTCCCGGGCGGACCCGAGGGGCTGCACCGCATCGTCCGACGAGAGGTTCCGGAAGGGCTTGCCATACCAGCGAGGGCTCCGTGTGGCCCGTGGGGATCCACAGGAGCTGGGTGGGCAGCAGGCCCGGGGGGGCGGGGCGCCACTCGAGGACCACTTGTTGGAAATGACACAGGAAAGCCATTGAAATTCATAAACATGAACACGGTTTCAACAGGAGAGAAGAGAGTTTAAAAATAAACAGGGCGTGGTTGCTTGTCCTGAAAAACACAAAATACTCTACACAGGGGTCATTTCGTAGAAAAAGAGGTGCAGGAGCTCATTAGCACAACTCATTTGCATAGGCCACGCCCCCTGACATCACTGGAAGTGTGTCAGAAGGCAACACCCACCACTCAGGCTCCACTGGACTGTTTCAGATTGCTAGCTATTGGGGGGGGGGGAACGTGCAGATCTGTCCTTGCAGAGGAGGGAGAGCTTGCACCTGAATAAAACTTGGTCTTAAAGGTGCCACTGGACTGTTTTGGACCGGGGAGCCGGGGGGGAGCTCTGCAACTTACCTGGCTGCTTCTTGCTCTGACTGAGGGCTGCTGGGAGCAGGGGGAGGGGCTTGTTGCATGTGCCCGCCCCCTGGGCTCTTTACTGTGCCCTCCTGCACAGATAAGATTAGAATGTCAACAGCCAATCCATATGCAAAAGAACCTCCTCAGGAAAGCTCCTCCATTAGCATGTTTTCACAGCCTGGGGAACTCCTACAAGATAACGACTCAGCCCTACCCCACCTTCCTGAGTAGATATAAATCACCTGCCTGCCATTTTCCTTCATCTCACCTTGGCACAGAGAGTACTCCATCTTTCCGCGTTATACCTCTGAGGATGCCAGTCACAGCTGCTGGCGATGATCAGAAGGGCTCCCAAATTCTTCTGGTATCACAGGATCTCACGGGACCCCCTTGAAACTTGCACTGGGCGGGCTGCCAACTCCAAGCTGGGGAAATTCCTGGAGGTTTGGGGGGCTGCAGCCTGGAGAGGGGAGGCAGCTCAGCGGGGCACAGTGCCACAGAGTCCACCCTCTGGAGCAGCCGTTTTCTCCCCAGGGGGACTGCTCTCTCTCTGGTCTGGGGATCAGCTGCCATTCTGGGAGATCTCCAGCCCCCCCCCCCCCCGGCCGCCAACGAAAAGGCCCGCCCCCGGTGCGATGCTCAGGCTGCAAGAAACGTGTCTGTCTTCCAGTTACCACAGGCCCCTTTGCCGGGTGCTTGAGCAGGTCGCATTCGCACGTCCATGCGAGACACGGCCTGAGGCAGGCAGGCCTCCTGTCCGGAGACCTGGGGGTGACCACTTCCTGAAAGGCCACTCGTGAAAGAGGCAGAGGCTGCACATTTGGCTTTGCCACCCCCCACCCACAGACATCTCCCCTCCCTCTGACAAAACTGAGACGGTACAGCCAGGAGTCATTTCGTAGAAAAAGAGGTGCAGGAGCTCATTAGCATACCTAATTTGCATATGCCATGCCCCCTGATATCACCGGAAGTGTGTCAGAAGGCAACACCCACCGCTCAGGCTCCACCGGACTGTTTTGGATTGCTAGCTATTGGGGGGGGGGAGAACGTGCAGATCTTTCCTCACGGAGGAGGGAGAGCTTGTACCTGAATAAACCTTGGTCTTAAAGGTGCCACTGGACTGTTTTGGACCGGTGGGGCTCTGCAACTTACCTGGCTGCTTCTTGCTCTGACTGAGGGCTGCTGGGAGCAGGGGGCAGGGCTTGTTGTATGTGCCCGCCCCCTGGGCTCTTTACTGCCGGAGCTCCGCTCCAGCAGGAAATGACCCCTGGGTACAGCCCTTGGGGGAAGGGACCTCTCTTTCTGGTTGCCTTGCTTTGAACACAAGAGAAGCCAGTGTTGGATCAGGCCAATGGCCCATCCAGTCCAACACTCACACAGTGGCCAAAAACTCCAGGTGCCATCAGGAGGTCCACCAGTGGGGCCAGGACATTAGAAGCCCTCCCACTGTTTGACCCCCCCTAAGCACCAAGAAGACACTTGCCCCAGAGCCCCTATCTATACCTTGTGGCTAATAGGAATTGATGGACCTCTGCTCCATATGCTTATCTAATTCCCTTTTGAAGCCGTCCATGCTTGTAGGCGCCACCACCTCCTGTGGCAGTGAATTCCATGTGTTAATCACTCTTTGGGTGAAGAAGGACTTCCTTTTATCCGTTCTAACCCGACTGCTCAGCAATTTCATGGAGTGCCCACAAGGAGTTCTCGTATTGTGAGAAAGGGAGAAAACTGCTTCTTTCTCAACCTGCTCTATCCCACACAGAATGTTGTGAACCTCGATCATGTCACCCCTCAGCTGTCGTTTGGCAAGCGCAGGGATGTCGATGGCCCTTGGGAGACTTGCCCCACCGAAAAAAAATCATCCCGAGGTCCCTGCTGCATGCACACACCCCTTCAGACTGAGGACGGGTGCTTTCCAGAAAGGGGGCTGGCACCTCATTCCTGGAACCACCGCATCCGTTCACCCATTCAACCTGGCACCTGCCCAGTGTCAGGACCCACAGTCAAACAATTGAGTACACGCTTCTGGAACGGTTATACTTTATTGCTACCCTGTTTCCCCGAAAATAAGACCTACCCCAAAAATAAGCCTTGGCAGAATTTCTATGCATTTGTGGTATAAGCCCTAGTGTGTCTTCTTGAGAAAAAATAAATATAAGACAGTGTCTTATTTTCGGGGAAACACGGTAGTACTATGGTTGCAGGAACATGTTCACTGTTAGGAATAACTACCATCCAGAAAGCAGATAGAGATATAGGGTATTCAAATGTGCCTCCCCCCCACCCATGGCCAATCGGCCTGACTCCCGTGGACCAGAGCAGTTAGAGCCTCACACGGTTAATTGATGGGAAGACACTACACAGGCAGGCTAAAAGGTCAGCGATAAGGAGGGGAGAAGAGCAGAGAAAGGAATGAGGCAGCAACTGGCACACAGGTCATGAAAGCGAACCCGGGCCCATAAACCATATGGCAGCATAGCTGACACTCCATTGAGTTTGGCCTTTTCCTTCCCCCAGGCTTTTGTCCCATGGGGGGGGGGGGTCCCATTGTTGCCGTTAGCTGCCCCAGGGGAGCTTCCTTCTTCCTTCTCAGGTCCTAAAAGGTAAAGGTTCCCTTGCTCGAAAGCCAGTCGAGTCCGACTCTAGGGTTGCGGTGCTCATCTCTGTTTCAAAGCCGAATTGCCAGCGCTGTCCGAAGACGTTTCCATGGCCGGCATGACTAAACACCAAGGCGCACGGAACGCTGTTACTGCTGATGGCAGTTTTGACGCTGCCTTCGCCCTCCCTCCGGCTCCCCTCTTCGCGCGTTTCTATCTTTGTGACCTCTCATTGAATGAGAATGTTTGAGCGTGAGCTTGGAGCACCCCTCGAGAACCACTGGGTGGCACAAATGAGGCAAAAAGGCGGAGAAAGACGGCCAGAGAGTGGTTTTTAAAAAACCCAATTTAAATGTATCGGAGTGCTGTTTCTTCTTGAACAGAGACACCATGTCCTTGGTTTGTATTTGCTTGGGATTTTGACCGGGAGAGCCAGTCGGGCTGCAGGCATCCAAACAAATGAACGGGATCCCTGAGGACTGAGCGGTCTCGGGCCCAGCTTCACTGCCAGGACGTGGCACCATAGAATCACAGAATGTTAGAGTCGGAAGGGACCTTGCAAGTCATCTAGTCCAACCCCCTGCACTCTGCAGGAGCAGAGCCGAAAGATAATACCCCTACAAGATACCCGAAAGATGGTCGTCCAGCCTCCACCTGAAAACGTCCAGCGAAGGAGCCTCCACCACCTCCCGAGGCAGACTGTTCCACTGCTCAACCACCCTTACAGTTAGGAGGTTTCTCCTGCTGATATTTAGCCGGTAACGACTCCCTTGTAATTCCCACCTATTAGGTCTAGTCGTGCAATCTGGAGCGAGAGACAATAGATCTGCTCCATCTTCTACATGACAGCCCTTCAGATATCTGAAGACTGTGATCATGTCCCCTCTAAGCCTTCTCTTTCCCAGGCCAAACAGACCCAACCCTTTCAGCCTTCCCTCGTAAGACTTGGATTCCAACCCTCTCGCCATCCTGGTTGCCCTCTACTGGACACGCTCGAGTGTGTCAACATCCTTCCTCAAATGTGGTGCCCAAAGCTGGACCAGGGAACAGGCTGCAACAGGGGACACTTGAGCTGGGCCCTTTCTTTGGGGTGCAAAGGCCAGCTCCTCCTTCACCCTGCAGCAGCACTTCTGGGTGGAAAAAAAGCCACGGGCGCCCCCTTCAGCCTCTTCCCTCAACTGGGAATCCCAGTGCCCCCCTCCTCCCAAATCTCGGACGCGGGGGGGGGGGGGGCGGCGGCTTGCCCTGCAGTCTTCATAGGCCAAAGCTGGAGGCGGAGGAGGGACTCCTGCCTACTTGTCATTCAAGCGCTCAGGAAGTCAAGAGTGAAAATGGCTTTTTCGGGGATGTCAGTGAAGACTCAACATCTGGGCTGGATATGGCCCTGCCAGGTGGAAAGCCTCGAATCGGGGTTTCTGACCAAGATGAAACCTTCTGCTGATGCTGCTCCATACTGCAGCCCGGGGGGGGGGGGGGTTGTTCGGTGGCACACATCACGCCAGGCCCTCCTGTCCTCCATCATGCTCCAGAGTTTGCTTAATTTCATGTTCCTTGCATGGATAACACTGTCCAACCATCTCCTCCTTTGCCGCCCCCTTCTTCTTTGGCCTTCGATCTTTCCCAGCATCAGGGTCTTCTCCGGTGAGGGCTCCCTCCCTTCTCGTTGGGTGGCCAAAGTATTTGAGCTTCAGCTTCATTATCTGGCCTCCCAGGGAACAGTCAGGGTTAGTTTCCTTTAGGACTGACACTGACTGCCCCCTTGGGTGGGGCGGAGGGAGAACAAGAAGAAGAAGAGATTGGATTTATACCCCATGGCCCTTCACTACCCAAAGGAGTCTCAGAGCGGCTGACAAACTCCTTTCCCTTCCCCTCCCCACAAAAGACATCCTGTGGGGTCGGTGGGGCTGA